AGTCAAAATTATTTGATTTTCTGTCCAAATTATTTAAATCAGTAGATGATTATTTAAGAAAAATCAAAACTTTGCCTGCAGTCCTGTGCCACGTGCTATAAGTGACCCTGCATGTGCAGGGGGGTTGGACTAGATGAGCTCTAGAGGTCCCTTCCAACCTTAAGCATTCTATGATTCTATGATTATGTAACTTTATAAATTCATATTTTGTAGAGGAGTCACCATCACTCCAGTCCATCCCTCTAACAAATAAGGTCCTGTGATAAAGCACCCGAATACCGCTTCCTATCTTTGGGAATTTGAGGATCTACATATAACACGCATTAGGGGCTGTGCAAATTATACTGAATTCTTAAATTGACTTAAAAAATTAAAAGATGTCAATGCTACTCTTTGAAGTACTTAAGTATCTAAGATGGGACGAATTCTGTCACTTAGTGCCTAAACAACCAGTCTTTACAACAGCCCTTCATCTGATGCAGAAATCACCTTCTCTCTTCACCTGTTTCCATGAAAACACACACATATTCTTCAGTCACACATATTCTACACCTACACTTATCCTTCAGTCATCCAAGACATTTTGGGAGGTCAAGTATTGCCTACCTCAAGCACACAAGAAATCCAAAATAAAGCCCCAAGAAATACTGAGAGAGTTGTATCTTACTGAGTCAAAGTAATGGCTCAAGATTCTCCCTCTTGTTTCAGTGGTGGTTTGTTAACATTTGGGTGCTTATCTTTTCCCCTTAACTGACAAGAGTTAAACATGAGGTTCAGGACCTGGGGGTGAGGGGGAGAAAAAAAAAAAGCCTACCAGAATTATTTTTTTTTAATGTTTCTGAGCACAGAAACATTTCCATTTTTATTCTTCCCTAAATACATCTTACAGCCTATTTCAAAAACTGGAACTATGGCAACACAGAGTCTCTCTTACCACTCTCAGCAGGTACAAAATCCAGATAGGGTATAAATATATATCTTCTTTCCCATATTAAAAGGTGAGCACAAGCAAGTGCCTGGATGCTGATCTACTTGAGTATCCACACTTAACTGTTTGGATAAAGGTCATGGTAAAACATAGTTATCTTGTAACTCAGTAAGAAAAATAGCCACTTTCTCCATTGAGCTATACAAACATACTGCAAACCTTCACGACATTTGGCTAAATTTTATACTTCACAAGCAATTGGGAAGAAAGATGAATGGATTTGAAGTCCCAAGTCAATCTTATAGGAACACAGACTGGCAGGAAGAAAACTTGAAAGGATTTGAATCTTCTGCTCTGTGGTTTGGGGGTTGGTGTGCAAAAGATCTAAGTACTGTAATGTGGTTAACAGACTGTTATTCCATTTTTGTTATACCTTGTAGGAAATTCATTAAATTGTACCTTTAATTGTCTACTAAAAATATCCGGAAAACCAATCACCTGAACAATGCAACGATCCACCTTCAATTTCTCTTCTTTCTATTTATTTTACAGACTCCAGGAAAACACATTTCCTTGTGTTTCAGAATTAAATCCTGAATTGCTATAGGATGTTTTCAGATGTTTAATATTAATATAACATTTCAGTAACACAGGAAAAAAAAATCAATTTTCTGAAAAAACAACAACAAAAAAAACAAAACAAAAATACACACACACTAGAAAGTATCTTGATTCTGATTCCAGAAGAGTTAAAAATTGAGGAACTTCATAATGTCTGGTGAAAAACAATTCCCTTTAAAAAGGTCTTTAAATATGATTCTATAAATACTTGGAAAAGGAGAAAGTTATATCTTTAGAGAACTCAAGTCTCTTACAGTAATATAAAACGAAATATGATAAGAAAAAAAAAAGTTATCCAAAATTCATCATTCCAGCCTTGATTCAGGTGTAAACAACATTCAGATTCAGCAAGATTTTTGCAAGATGAGGTTGTTAGCGAGTCATTGCAAGTGAAACGTCAAATCCGTAAACAAACGCAGAAAGGGGAGAAGGAAATATTGCACACCAATGGAGAGAAAAAAAAAGAAGAAAAATCTATATCCCCGCATCTTCTGTGCAAGCATTTGCTCTCCTACATGACTTGTGTGAATATTGCCAGGTTGTGAGTGCTGGTTTCCTCTGAGACAAGGTCACAGCAATCAAGAGTGATACCTGCCATCTCTACAGAGTGAAATGTCATTTTGAGTGGACTTTAGAAAGAACACAGAAAGTAGTAAATTTCTGTTTATCAAAGAATAACCAGAGCAGTTAGGTCTTTAGTTTGTTTTTATTTTTTCCCTTTAAAATATATAACCTTCAAAATATAATGTTTTCTGCATAAGCTTTTGTGTAAACACGGTGCCCCCTTCCCTGTCTCTTTTTAGAGAAAAAAAAAAAAAGTATATATATATTGTGTGTATATATATACACACATATATATACACACACACACATATATATATAGCTAGTACATTTTAGCATATCTACTTTTCAGTGTACCTATCCAGGATGCCATGGATTCAAATGGATTACAAAAAAATTACCTTGTTACAGCGCAATAAAAACCTGCCCTCAGATTTGTCATTAAAATCATACAACTACATAACGTTAAGTATCCCATGTTTCAAAAATTTCTAATATGTTATTCACTACATTGTTGTCCTCATTTAGAAATATACTGTAGATAAAAAAAAGAGATTTTACTACAGGATTTTATTTAGAAATAATTGTTCTATATGAATGAGGGCACTTTGAGATAAGGAAACAAAATCAGAATCACAGAATGGTTGAGGTTGGAAGGGACCTCTAGAGACCATCTAGTCCAACCCCCTGCTCCAGCAGGGTCACCTAGAGCACGTGGCACAGGGTGGCATCCAGGCGGGTTGGGAAGATCTCCAGAGAAGGAGACTCCACAGTCTCTCTGGGCAGCCTGTTCCAGGGCTCTGTCCTGTCACTGGTCACCACCAAGAAGAGTTTGACCCCATCCTCCCTACATTCCCCCCTCAGGTATTTTAACATATTATAGTAGCTTCTTTGAAAGTTAGGCATGGTTATAGACACATGTCCGTGATTCAGTGAACAGTATGGCAGAACGGCATCTCACTTTTTTTTTTTTTTTCCCCTCCCTCTTTCCTAAACAGTGCCCTTGTGCTGCTCTCTGTTTTTAAGGCAAAATTGAAATAAGTCATCTTTTGGCGATTTTGCTGTATCACTTCTTCCTCTTCTCAATCCTAAACTTCTCTCTTCAGGCAAAATACGAGAAATATTATTTTTTTCCTCTTTGTGTTTTTGCTTCCTTCCTAGTATGCTCTTAATGTTTTAAGTAGATAGAAAGCATAGATTTTTATCCAGTACCTTGTAAGAAGATAACACTGTCTCCTGTATTTTGCCAATTGTATTCAAAGACAACCCCCACATTGTATTTTATGAGTTATTTTTCATTTCCACAGCTATGCTATAGATCTGAAAATATAAAAATATTACCAAGTTATTTGTCTCTAATACCTAAAGCTGGTTTACATAGCTCATTAACTAATTGAGACTCTGCCATCCTACAGTTTTTTTTTCTTCATCTTGAGCCCTTTCATCTACATTTGAAGCCAATAATTGTGCTATATATCAAATCAGCTGGGAAATTCAGAATAATGAATTCATATGCTATAAGGGATTCTCAGTCATACACATTCCATTTATTATTCCTGTAAAACTCCAAATGCAATACAAACAGTGATTTGATCATTACTCTTTTTTTTTTTTTTTCTGTACATCAAGTTAAGTACTAGAGCAGAAATTGCAGGAATCTGAATTAGGATTACTAATAGAAGACACAGGAAAAAGACACTACACACTCAATAGCGAGTTAGCAGAAACACCACCTCAGGAGTTTTTGCGCCACAG